CCCACCCCCACCTTAGGCGGCGGAACGACAGTAATAAATATTCATCAGGGGACTCATGCTGTAGCCTCGGTTCCCCCTCAACAAAGGGTCCCCTAGCTAATGGTGTCCATCCTTGGCAGCCCCCCTGGAGAGATCCTGTGGAGGGGATGAGATCATTAAAGCATGACACGGGCTCAAGGCCGGACCTATCATGTCACATCAGCATTTATCCAACCAGAGCCCCCCCACCCCCACCCCCTTAAGTCTCAACCTAAGCCGACCCCACCTTCGCTCGCTGCCCTCTATAGATTTAGATGAACACAGACAGCTTTTGAAGGTTGGCTGGGCTGCTCTCGTCGTGTTAGTTCAACTTCACAACTTCCTAATTGGCACCTTGGTTTTGGTCCTTGCTGAGATCAGTGTTTTTTTTTTTTTTTACCTCAACTTGTTCTTCTCAAGCTCCTCCAAATGTGTCGAGCGTGCATTTTTTTTCACAAGGCTGTTTGCTCTCTCTTGCTTTCTTCTCACCCTCTCTTTCCGTATCACTCTTTCTCTGTCCTTCTCTCTCTCTCCCTCTCACATCCCCTCCTTCTCTTTCTCTGGGTGACCACACTCAGCGATTTCTATTTCCTGTGGGTGTGATGTCTCTCCTCCACAAGCAATCAGCTCTGATTTGTCAGCGTTCTTCCAGGCGATTCATAGAAATTCAGCAAGCACCTACAAAAGACGTCTGTGTCCCTTCTCCCTACCTCTACTGCCCCTGTGCTCCAAGCTGCGGCTCCTGCCTCTCGCACCCTTTGCCAGACACTCACAAAAGACCTGAAATCATTTATGCAAGGAAACATGTGTGGAAGGAAGTAGAGTGTCCTTTAAATGCCACAATTAAGAGAGTTAACTTGTCAAATGAAGGGCATTCTGTGCAATCAAATGAAGGCTGGGAAATATGGATTATAACTACTCACAATATATTTGACCAAAAACCTCAATATCAATATTGCTACGATATTGTAGGGTTGACCTTTTTCTGGTGCTTTAATAAAAATATTTACACACAAGAGCTTTCAATACTATGGTATAGATATAATACATCAATAATAGAAATTAGAAAATGTACTCATGATGCTTCCCTTAAAAGGAAAAGAGAACACATATGCCATATAAGAAAATGACGATAACCAAACGCAACATCTAGTCTGAAATCACTGTATCATTTTTGTATTGATATATCACCCAGCCCTAAATCAGACAAGTGCTCATTGTGAAATACCTCTATTGTGGTTTTCTTTATTTTGGTGTTTTTTTCTCATCCCAATGTGTTTGTGTGAGTCTGCCTCTTTGTCTCAGTGAGGTATGACATGCCCGGTAGTGGAAGGGAGCAGCTGTGCGTTGGACCTTGTCTGTGTTGTGGTGCCATGCCCTGTCATTGGTAGCCGTCTGTCGGCGGCAGCCTGAGCTGGAGGGTTGCAGCCGGGCTCAATCATTCCTCAGTGTCATATGGCGAGCTTTTAGCCATGCCAAGCCATGCCAAGCCATGCCTACTACGTTACCCTACACACAGCTGTGGGACAGAATAGCCTCTTCAACTCTGACAATGTGCCATCTCTCTGCAATTTCAAGATTGCAAGTGTTTTTTGAACAATATAGCATCTTGGCGGCTGAGGGGAAAATGATAGGCTTATATGAAATTTGGAAGAAGCAGCCTTTTTTTTTTCTACTCTCATCCCGGTAGCTATTAGTGGAGTACTTTCCTGTCTATTTGTCCATTATCTGTGCATCATCAGGCAGACCATTATCCCATTATGTTTTGCATCTGTGGTCCAAATGCTTACTGGAAATGAGTCACCACACAGGCCGGTGAAAGGTAGGTGTTACTATCAGTCAGCTATTCATAGCCAGCCCCACATGGATGAAAGTATCCCATTTAAAAAGTCCTCCGCAGAACGCGAAAGGCTTTTTTCCTGTGGGCATTTGCATCACAAGCAAACATTGCAGTTTTATGAGGCGCCAGAGGACTTTTTTGAAGCGAAAGCATCAAGAATGCGAGTCACAATCTGACCTCATGTTATGTCCCCAGCCTGTGTGATAGTGTCGTATTCAGGTCATTTTTAACAAGCGTCTGTCTCTGCCTGTTTGGCTCAGGTGACCGGTCCACCTGTAGCACCCTTTTGTTGCCATGGAAATATACTGGCGGTCTTAGTGCACTTTAGAGCTACGACTCTTCTCTTTCTTCTCTTCTCTGCATACACATGAACACTATCTTAGTGACACAAGCACACACTCTTTTCAAGATTTGTTCCTTTGTTTTCTGTTTCGATGCTAAAAGGTTGTAAAGGCCCACATGCATTTGTTTATGTGCCTAGTACAAACACACACTGCTGGGCTGAGTAAATCAGCTTACAGATGCAATGTGCTGCCTGGGCTGACTGTGGTGGGTGCCGGTGTCGCTGACACAGCATTTTATGTGTGTAGTGTAAAGCACCCTGGGCCATAACTGTTTGTGTGTGTGCGCAGACTTATCCTGTGGCAGAGCGCATACAGTGGAAGGCCCCCCCCCGCCTTCTGTCCGTCTTAATACCAGCAGGTTAGATTTCTGGTGTGCGCAGCTTTTCTTGGTGTTCCCTCAGTACAGACATGACACAATACACTGCAGTGCAGCCCTGTTGTTCTGCATGGTAACCAAGGCTCTGCAGTAGTTACAGCATATTCCCTTTTCATTGATTTATGGGATTATTGTCGGACACTAGCCAAACGTAGACAGGTATGAGTGTATAGCTGCTACAGTAGATGAAAGCTTGCCTTGTGTCCCTCTGTGCTTTATATTAGCTGAGCTAAACGGTAAAGTAGAAAGGCTGAATGCTTTGTTTTAATCCATCCACATCCTCTGCTGTTTCTGCTCTGAGAGGCTGCACTTAACAGAAGTGACTTCTCTTGAGTTTTGTTTTTCCAAGAAAAACAGAAAAGGTGAATTGCTGCCAGACAACTAAATGTTATCCTCCTCCTGACTCGCCACGCTGCTGGTTGAGTGCAGCGCAGTAGTGAAGTGAGAGACCTGGGGTGGATTGGGAAATGCATACCACCAAGGTATTTGTTCATAGTGACAGGTGCAGTAATGGTCCACTCACTGAACGGACTTGGCATCACTTGAAAGGAAGTCCTTGACCCACTTTGTGCTTTGTGTTTTCAAAGGAGTTCGTCATGCTGTAGCCTCATTGTCTGAAAACACATTTGGGTGCATTTCACAGAAATCTTCCTTCCAGGTCTTTCTCTTGTGATCGTTTTTCTATATGCTGATATTGACTTTGCTTCCTTACAGACAAACCAGCAGTACAGGTGGACGCGGCTCTCGGGGCATGACTACCACAAATAAGGGAAACAAGGCCTTGAAGGTAAAAATCGCTTGACGCCAAATTTTAAAACGGTGAAATGCAAATACTAAAACTAACGCTAACTAATCCCCATCGGCAGGTGAAGCGGGAGCCAGGGGAAAATGGCACCACCCTGACAGACGACGAGCTGGTGACCATGTCCGTGCGGGAGCTTAACGCGCACCTACGGGGCCTGACGAAAGATGAAATCCTTCAGCTGAAGCAGCGGCGGCGCACCCTGAAGAACCGGGGCTACGCTGCCAGCTGCAGGGTGAAGAGGGTCACCCAGAAGGAAGAGCTGGAGAAGCAAAAGGGTCTGCTGCAACAGGAAGTGGACAAGCTTGCCTCAGAGAACGCCAGCATGAAGGTGGAGCTGGATGCTCTGCGTTCAAAGTATGAGGCCCTCCAGAGCTTTGCTAGGACTGTGGCCCGCAACCCTGTCATCTCAGCCAGGGGGCCCATGGCCTCGGTCATAGGGCCCCTCATCCCTGGTAAAGTAGCTGCCACCAGCGTCATCACCATCATCAAATCCAAAACACAGGCTAGGTCGTAGTAGCAGAAAGGGCGGGAGGAAGATTTGAAAACTAGTCAGTGCATTGTAACATGCCGCAGGATTACCTGTCTGTTTTAACCCTTGGCACTAACACTAACAATATGCTTCCCAAATTCACTCTGAAAGTATGACTCAGCAGTCTGTCAGCAGATACATTGTGCTTCAGAGTGACACAATCAAATTGTACGATTTAGGAAGAATGGAGACGCGAGATATTTAATTGAAAAAGCAGATTGTGGTTTCAAAAAGTCAGTAATATTGGTTGGAAGAGGTACACAGTTGATTGATCAAATTTAGACTGTTAATACATTTTGTATTTATAAGGTACTTCAAGTGTATTTAAGGCTGGGCTCTAAAGATGTTTCCGTCCTAAGAATTAGCCTTTTTAGAGTCTCACTACTAATACAAATATATTGTTTAACTAACCCCTTGCCTGTTATTATGCACTGACTTATCGTTGGTTAAAAAACAATCGGTTACAAACTATTAGTGTGGATGCTACAGGTGTCTACATAACAGCCTGACTAACCCAAACTAGTAAATTAGTCAAAATTGTGATTTTGTCGCTCGTCTGTCAACAATATAAGCACGAAATAATGCTCCCAAATCTAGCATTCATTTCTGTTTATCTGTGACGGGCTTTAATGAACTTGTCATTATCAGTATGACTGGTAGATGCAATAATATATGTATGCACTGAAAAATACAAAGAGGTCTTGCATATTTATGGTTTAGGAGAAACGTTTAGAAATGATCAGCAGTTCTTATTGTTCCAGAGCTGAGTGCCATTCCAATATGACAAGATTCTTCTTCAATATCTGAAAACATGAATGTTATAACAGTAATATCCTCGTGTTTAGTGGAAAACAGTGAAATCCACGAACATTTTGAAACATCATTTTTGCTCATAGAGAGAATATGTTCAAGTTGTTTTGTTTTGAAAGATATATATTGCATTTTTCTTTTGTAATTACTTGTTAACAGGGCCGTGAGATCTTTCCAAGAGAAAATCTTTACACAAGCTTTACTGTTTGAATTGTTAAGGTGTAGAAAAACTTTGTCTAATGTTGAGTTCTTGGTTTTTATTACTAGGTAGATTACCTTCCATCGTTTCTAGAAATACAGATACAGAAAACATAAAAAAAAAAAATTCCTGTGACATCTTTTTTGCAATTGTACCGAAAGTGGCTTACTATTGAAGTCTGATAGCTTTTTTCTAGTGACTAGGCGCGTACTGTGGGGTAGCGCGTGATGTGATGTGTAAGTGACAAGTTGGCAGTGTCGTTCACTGTATAGATGTCAATGCTGTGCTATTTAAAACAAATCTGTAGAGCTAAACTAGGTGGTGTAAACAAGGTCAATTGTCTTTGTGCGTATTGGCATCTGTGATATCCTCCGCTTCCTTGGTGTTAGTTACAAATCATTATTGTCATTAGAAGTTTACCACATTGAGCCATTTAAGACAGAATTGGGTGAAAAGGCATTATTGACTTTTCACTTTAAGCTTAACGTGATCCTGTCATTGCAGAATCTGAATTATGGTTGCCCCTGGTGATGGATGCCCTCTTAAAAACATCCTCTGTGACATGTCGGGAAGATTTTATGATCGTATCCATTCTAAATTGGTTTGAATTAGATTGTCGGGATATAAATGATAACCCTTTTTAAATGAAGCTTTTTAAAGTCTAAATGAAATGTGAAGTCAACAGTGTTGTTCCCCTCCACTTGTTAGACTATATTGATAACGTTGCATCATTGAACTTAAACCTCCAAATGGTGCAGCATTACTTGTGAATTTACCCACCGGATTTTCAGATTAAAAGCGCTAGCTAGGGTTTGACTGAGGGTTTGTATGCACTAAGCTCCTGCTTGTTTTGCTCAGGACAAAACAGGTCACTCTAAAAAATGAACAAACTATTCTAGAAGAGATGTAGGGGATGGCAGCTCTGTTCATTTGTTTCCGCCCTTATTTTTATGTCATAAAGGGCTTCAATCCACACTCAGAAAGACACACAGCGAGACCACGTAGAATTACAATCATCAACTGCTGCCAGCAGCGCTCCTATTGTGCCAAGTGTCGCATCACTCTCCTCTGAAAAGGAATTGAACGGTGGAGTTAAAGGAAAGTAGTAGAAAACGTGAACAGTATGCACTTCATGGGGATCTCACTCTCACGCTGGTCAGAATGTCTTACAGTGTCGGCGAGGTGTTAATCTGCAGTCACTCAAAAACTACGCCTCAGCAAAAACTCCTGGGTGCTGGTTCTACTGTATGTGTGCAAAGTATCCTATCCTCAAAACGCTTAGCTCTCTACATTGACTGGTTAACTGTGGGAAAATATATATCTGACTCTTGACATAGCCCAGTATCGATGTTGGCGTCCTTATTGCTGTGGCAGTCTTGTGGAGTGAATCTTTTTCGTGTCAAGTGTCTTTTAAGGTGTTCTAGAAACGCCGTCGACCAATCTCAATCTCCGCTAGAGATGACGACTCTCTTTCTCACACATACAGGTGTATAGTATGTAGCTACAGTAGGTAATAAAGACCATTGTGAAAAAGTGACCCTTAATATGCAACTCAGTGGAAAGGTGTGAAAGAGTAGGTGTAAGAATAATCAATATTGTCAAAGTGACTATGGTCTGTTATTTAATAATTCTTGCTGTTTTGTAGTTTTTTTTTGTAAAATGTGTTTTTTATTTCGCCCTCAGACTTTTGAAATGGAAGAGCAATTGGCCCTTGTTTGTAGTAGCTAACATTAAACAGTGTTTTAAAGGAATCGTGGGACCTTACTCACTAATTTCTCTGGTCTAAAAGTATCTGATTTACAGGATCTATGAATTGGACTTGGATATCTGACTGAAAGCGATTATATATTAATGTTTGTACACTGAGTGCAATGGTTGTTACAATAGATTCTGTCACAAGGGCCTTTTGCAATATCGTATTTTCTTTGGTATGCGTGTGTGCGTGTGTGTGTTTTGTACATTTGAGGTTCCTCTGCTGCTACACCAGTCATTAATGCTCGTTGTTTGCTGTAGCATCATCCACAGCATTTCTGTTCTCATTATGTGTTGGGTGTGTTTTTTAAATTGATCTTAACACTGTCATTTGTTCTGCAGATTTTATTTTTAATTGGTTATGGCTTTTTTTCTTCTATTTTTTCGTTTTGTTTTTACAAGCAACAAGGTAGAGAGGAAAAATAACAGCACTTGTGTTGCAGATGAATTGAATAGCTCTTACCACATTGGCTTTTTTCATGAAATGATGCTTTGAAAACAGCCGACTGTGCAGGTTTCTTGCTCTTACTCCATGGAGTGGGACTGTGTTTCAAAGGTATAAGGATCTGACTAAAGCGTGTAATGCAAAGTAAATTATCTGTCTTTGTTATATTTCTGTATGGGTTGTAATAAAATATTGCAGTACTTTGTATGAAAACAGACAATAGTTAATTGTAACTATTTATAAATTAAATTATTGTACTTTTTGCAATCTGTAGATAAGTACTATGTATTCATATATACAGTAACAACTGTGGATTTAAATGTGATTCTGAGGTGTCTAAGTTATTGATGTATATATTGTATGTTTGTTGATACAGCTTACTTTATTTTCTATAAGACCAATAAAATGTTTTGGAAAATGATTTGATGCCCTACTACTCTGTCTTTTGAGGCTTTTAAACACTGTTGAAATGGGGTTTTATCATATTCTGTGGCGTCATTGACCCAGTTTGAAACCAGTAAAAATAAACTAGTGGGGAAGGCTCTCTGCCGTCCAGGGTGGGTTTTAGAAGACAGCGATCATTTAGATGGCACGATTTCTTTTTCTGTGATCCAAAAAAAGCCATTGGGCGACCCACTTTGGCTAACCTCAGTGGACGTATTTTTGGCCCGACACGAGTAAAACATTAGAGTCATGAAGGATGTCTAGGTGTGCTTGTCCTAGATTGGGAGGAGTAGTGAGTTAGTCATCTGTGCTCCCTGTGGGCCTCCTAAACCCCCTCTGTCTCCTTGCACCTCATCAAACATCAGCAGCGTTTCAACCCCAGCACATTCAAAACACATCTCGAGAGAACACGGGGAGACAAAGAGACAGATGGCTGAAGATGAGCTAAATCTTACCTCTCCATCCTGCAGGGCAAGTCTAACCCCCAGTGCCTCTGCACCAATGCAGCGTGGTATTGTTCCCCCCCTTCTCCTAAATTGAAGAGGCTCCTACAAGTTTGTGTGACCTGTGCCTAAAAAACAGGCTCCTCTCCTCCTCTGGATGCCTGCCCCAGACAACCGGATGGCCTCTGAAGAGTTGATTAATTTGGTGGGTTGGGTTAAGGTAAGCTGGTGGGCAATCTAGGACAGCATTCTTCATCTTCACCCACTTCTGCAGCAGGTGCCTGCCCCACTTCTCAGATCGCAGCTCCGCTGTACAATTAATGTTGCCATCCCCATCAGCAAGGACGTTCATTTAGCACGTCTACCCTGCCAGAGCTTGGCACGGGGCCCCGCTCTGCAAATGTCAGCATGGCAGAGGACATGTCTGTTTATAAGAGGTGTTGGGTGAGAAGTGCATTTCTCCTTGATCACATCAGCATAATGGTTGTTATTCTCCTATCTAACAATTTTTTTACAAATTCAGAATCATCGCCTACAAGCCAGATAAAGGACTCCTGACCACGGGAGAGACAAGACAGAAGACACCATGATATTAAACAGCTTGTGTGGAGTAAGTTAACCTTGCCCCAGTTTATATGCAATACGTGGGTATGGGTTTCCCTCTGCTGGTGCCTCTGTGTAAATACTACAGTATGTGAGATTTAATAGGGTTTTTCCACAAGATGACGCCAAACACTCCTAACAGAAGGATTTCCCCTCCAATGCACATCTTTATCAAACAGGTAAGTCATCACCCAACTTGTTGAATTTTTGCAACTATGACTATCACCCAAATGTACACATGATCTTGTTATTATAGTCCAGGGCTGGTCCTTATTGAGATTTTAGGATTAGGAATATCTGCAATGTCATACAAACTAATAACAGCAATGCAGTAAAGGTATGTGTTCAGATTTGGTTGACTAAAACATTGCTCAACATCGTTTTGAGTGCATTGTACTGGAATATAACACACATCTTTCACTTAAAATAAAACACACCACAACATTATCTTTACACGGACTGAATATAGTGAGCACTGCAATCTTTACTAAAATAAAGATGAGATGCACTCTGCAGGTTTGATGGGTTGCATCATTTGTATTGATTCCACATAATATGTAAATGTAGATATCATCACTGAAAAAACTGGAACGTTTAGTTTAAATGTAGGCCTATGTCTTTGGCAAGCGTTTATGTATGGCCTATATTTTAATTTATACATGTAAATGCATTTATTTATTAGACTAGATTACATTCACCTTTATTGTCATTGCACAACGAAATGTGTTTGCATCCAACCAGAAAGTGGAAATAGTAGTGAAGTGCATGCTGTTTCAATACATTCACATAACAAACTATGTTGTAGTAATGTACATACATGTATATTTGTATGAATACATATTCTAATCATAATTTTACTTTTATATTAGGCTATTATATCATTCTTATTGATACATTTCCACGAAGCTAAAGGGAAGATTATCTCCAACACTATAGACTAATTATTTTTGTCAAAGCATGTTTAAATACTTTAAAGATTAAAGGACATGTCCCATCTTATCTTTGTTATAGTTGTTATTTTACAGGGGTAACTTGCAGAAAATTGAAGTGAACATACAGACCAAACATTGGCCTTTCATCGAAGACAGCTTTGGCAGACAGCCTGGCATATCTGTGGGAATCCAGATATTGTCACATGACCGAGGAAATTTGCCGCTATTATGTAACAACATGTCGGCTGCTTGCACCGGCCACTCATCGTACGATTCAGCCTGCGTCAAGCTTGCCATCAAGAACACATTATTTTCATGTTTGGTCTTTTCAAAATAAAACCAGTGACGACCAATATGTGTTGGAATGACTTTTATTAACAGGACTTCCTTTTCTTTGGGATGATGTGCTTTCTTCGGCCGACTTGACATAGCGCGTCGTGCGTCGTGCGTCGTTGCGTCGCGGGTCGAGGAGGCGTTGGCGCATCGCACGACTGCTGCCGCTGGTGCTGCTGCTGCGGACACACAACCCGGCTGTCCTGCACTGAAACGGGGGACGCAACTGACACTGTCACCATCTTAACTGGAGGGGCTCACTCTGTGGATACAGTTGCACTTTAATTTATCACTCACCAGCTTCACCGCAATGATCAAAAACGGTCATCACAACCACCAAGTGAGCACGGTAGCCGGGAAAGACGCAGGGACGACCCCCGGAGCTGCAGCCTGCAGTCCCGAGAAGAGGAGGAGAAGAATCCGGGTGTGGTGTGACGGCTGGTGAGTAATTTACCGGATGAATGATGGTGGGATGGAGATGGTAACAACGTTGGTTGGTCGTGCGCATCGAGCCCGTGTGGATGAATGTGTCAGCCTGTGTTATCATCCACCGCCGGGACAGGCCTGCTGCACAGCTCTCACATGACTACTGCTCCATTCTTCAGAGACATCCGTGTACACACAACTTTTAGTTGAATAGTTTCCTTTATATATACTATCATGAGAGTTGCAATGACCATAGTCTCTGTGGATCAAGATTTATTATCACGTTGCATTACTTTTTTTTTAAATTACCACTGGGGCATCATATCTCAATTGTTCACCTCAGGACAGATTTACATTGATCTTTACTGCTGCATTTTATCACACTGTCATGTAGATGGAGCCTTACTATGACAAGCGATGTGAATATTCCATGTGTATGCTGGAAATAACATAGTATAAAGTGCTTTAGATACAAGTGTTTGTCAAATCAATTTTAGAGACAAACAACATTTTTTTAAAACACAATTAACATTTTGCCAGTAAGGTGGCGAAATGTCTAAAGTTGTACATATGTTATACTAAAAATCAATGGCTGTGGCCACACAATGTTTCACTGTTTCATCCTCTAAACTGAGTATGAATTTAACTCATAATAACTGACTAATACTGGTAGGAAATAGGGTTGGCTTAAGGATAGCTTCACAACGTATAATTATTCAGATCTAAACTTTGGGACAAAACCAAGAAGGTCATACTGCCACAGAGATGTTAAACTAGTGATACAATGAAGTTTAAGTATAGGTAAAGCAAAATGAGTTTAATTCACTGCTAAATATGGCTGACCGTATCAATTCTATACATTTTAAGACCAGATTAATTACAGCACATGCACCATTTCTCAGTTTCAGGGTTCAGGTATGTTGCATGCTGCCTCACTGTCACTGTGATAACTGAATATAACAATGAGTCACTGTTAACATTGTTAGTAACATCTGTTCTTCAAACTCAAACTTTTTATCTTACACGCACAGAATGATAACGTACACATACATTTTTTAAATAAATACTTAATTGCTTTGAAAATGTATTTACAATTGATAGACTGTGATGTTCAAACCCAGAACAATAACACACTATACACCTCAGATCACTTGTTTACCCGTTCCACTCTGAACCTATACTTAGTTTGACTATTCAAGGTATTACTTTCATGAAGACATAATGACACCTCCACAAACAACGTGTCTTCTTTCAGCAGTGTAATGGAATAAAAACAATTATGATAGAGTTGAGCAAGGCGCTCACAGAGCACCAGGCACGGCCTTTAATGCAATACAGGTGATTAATGTTAACACAGCTGTGGGAAGGGCAAGGCTAACCAGAAATTGCTCTTGTGGTCACATCAGTTGAAAAACAATCACATCAAATGCCAAAAACAAAGACACCTTTTTTCTATTGTGCTCCTCCAGCTAAATGTCTAATATTATAGTTTTTAGACTAAATGTATTTACATTTAAGCATCAGTGTATCGCCGAACTTGATTGATGACCACTCTTCATGTGAGGGACATGCCTAATAATTCTGAACACACTGAACAGGTTTGATGGACAGCAGATGTGTCAGCTGTATATACCTCACAAATTTAGAGTAACTGATATATTGAAAGACTTTTTAGAAATGTATTGCCAACTATTTTGACAACCGATTACTCATTTGTGACACTGTTTCCAGCCTGTCAAAATCAAGTTGATTGAATGCCTTTCATTTGAAATTATAAAAGGCATGGTTCACAATTTTTACGATGCATAAAACTATAAATAGATAGTGAAAGTAATTGTTAGCTGCAGCTCTAGAACTGCCTTCTCTGTGAAAAACACCAAGCCCTGGTGGACAGTCTGGCTCCATGGTGCAGTGGAAAAATAAATGTTTTGAATTTCTGTGCATGAAGGCCAGGATTATGGTGTCTTTCTCTAGTAGAATTCCCGCTATTTAGGTGGGGCTGCCTGTCCTTGCTTTGATGGAATGTTGCAGAATAATTGGGATGCCAGAATATTAACCGGTGGGATGAGCATGCAAAGAGAACCAATGTCAACAGAGCCCATGTCATTAACCCACGCCAACCCCTCCGGCCCACACCTGCTACGGCCATTATGTCTCGTCACTGAGCACATTGTTTCCCAAAGCCCTGCTGGACACCACCACTCTCTTACTGACATCCAGCATTGTCAGCAGTATGTTAGGAAAATCCCAAGAAAAGAGCATAGTCACTTCATCTGTTGAGACATCTTTGACTCTGCCCCTTCTCCTCTGCACAAAGCAACGATTCGTCACAATGAAAAGAGGTGATGGGGGCTAAAGATCAGTTCTCAGAGAAGCATCATCACTAGAGTGTAAGGTCCACTTCCACTGTGTTTCAGCTGACGGAGTGTATCCAAACATGACTATAAAAGAGCTATTTAAAGCGTCAGTGAAGGTCAAATGATTCAATAAAGAAACAAAAACAATACACCCTACTTTTAGTTTTTCTTCAGGTATTTTAATCTTTCATTTGACTTGAAAACCTCACCAAAATGTCAAGAATATACTCTCTTTAAAGGTATTTCCTACCCATTTGTTTATATCACTGTGTCTACAGGTGTCTGTCTGGTGTTGTTCTTGAGAGGTGCGGTTTAGGTGTCCGTTAACAGGCTAAGCTAATTAATATTTCATCATCCCACAGTCATGATCCAACCCTGCTAAAAAATACAAAAGGAATACGGTAACACACATTGGGCATCCAGCTAGTGTAACACTCACAGAAACAGCCTCCTGGTCTTATATAACTCCGTCTGGGTCTCCAAGTTTCCTTATTCATCCACCTCCAAATGCTCCCCCTGACATTCTGCCGACCCTGCACTATCCCCTCAGACCTGAACACATGGATCCCATTTTCCCACATTGACAGCACACATAGAAAATTCTCCTAAACAAGCCTCTTCTTGTATTTTTCAATTAGTCAATACTGAATCACATAGATAAGCCCTGCAGCATAGTAATGGTTGTTTTTGTGTTACAATACACTCAAGTGCAGTCAAGGCTGTTTTCAGTCAGGCTGTGTATAGTGACACCACAGATGCTGTCTTTCATTAGCATAGCCTAGGGGCTGAAAACAACATGGGCTTCTGTTACTGTTGTGGCTGTGTACATACTGCAGCTCTGGCAGTGCTCATCTGTTTTCTTATTGATTCTTCAAAATGCTATTTATAGTGGTGTTTTGCACTTAACTCCTGGGAGAGCTCACGTGTAATTTAATGCACTAGAGAGGACACAGATGCCAATTCTTTTTTTACTTCAGTCATCTAAAACATTTTCTTTTATTAATTATTGGGAATCTTCAAGTTAATTGCTCTCACATTTGCTGATGGTTATAGTTGCTACAGTAACTTAATGACTCTGTGGTCAGATCTTAATTAAGTCAATGCATCTTCAGTGGCACCTGGAGACACTTTCATCAGTCATTGAACTTTCCTCCCTTTTTTTGTTCATGTTTAATTAGAGCAGAAAGAAAAATGACTGATGTCAGCTGTTGGCAGTAGTACTAGTGATGGAAGGCTAGTGCCCATCTGTTTTCTATTACTATGCTAGATTACCATGTTACAATCTCCGTCTCCAATCTGTGCTAATCTAATTATCTACAGATGGCACCATAGCCTGGGTGGAGTGTGATGGGAGGAAAAACACACTGTGCTTTTGCCTTTTATATGTTTAGACTTTTATTAGACCACATGATTACATTGGTGGGTCGATAATATCAGGAATATCAGCGTTTTAGCATGATTGCATACATATCAGTTGGTGATTGCTTTTTATTGATTTATGCAGTGATTTGATTCTTGTTTTGGTCAAAGTTACTGCAAGTTGCCAGAACACCTTGTTGGTGTACTTACATACACTCATCTGAGTGTTAAAGAGAAGCTGCCGATTTGAACTTTGAGACCAATGTCAAACTCACCACAATGCTTCATTCTCCATTATGTTTGACTGAAATCAAGCATGTTGTACTGAAAAAGAGTTGTACAATGTGTTTTGATAAAAATAGCAACTACCTGATCTTATTACTGTATTTCAAGACATGCTTTGTCTTACAGCTCCTGTAACTCGCTACCTTGCTTTAACTTGAATGTGACATCTTATCTTCTTATCCTCCTAGCTATGACATGGTTCATTATGGCCACTCCAACCAGCTGCGACAGGCCAAGGCCATGGGAGATTACCTCATCGTTGGAGTACACACAGATAGTAAGACTCAGAACTATGGACTTAAGTTGTTGAATTAAAGCCTTCTCTTTAAAGGAATACACCAAAACGGATCATTTGTATCTCAATTGCTCACCGTGTGTTACCTTGAATTTGTAAAGAAAACCTCTGCATTCTACATGTTGAATAAAAAAAATACAGTCTTTATCAATTGGAGTAAATGTTTAATTCCATCCAAGGGAAAATACTTAGGTTGTGTGTTTGAAAACTACTGTTCATTTAAATGGATAAATAACAGTTGGGTTACACAAGTGCACATGTCGAGTGAAAGGTTCTGAACAAATGTGTTGAACCTAATCTTCTCTGTTCACCATGGAGGCTAGACAGAAAGATACAATGTTTACTCCAAGAATGCAAGGACACATGATAAGTCACTGATTGACAAATGAACATTTTGAGGATGGAGTATTCCTTTGAGGTCTAGCTCATCTGTACAGGCTGTTTTAATAACTCTGAAGCTCCCTCACTTCTCTTGCACGATTCAGCCTGTATCTGCTAAGTCTGGAGATCCATGCTACCTGTAGCCTCTGCTTATGTTCCTCAAGTTTCTTTGTAAAGCGACCTTGAGGTTATGAGAGTTATTATCATTATTATTATTATTAAGTTAGTTAGCTTATTTGACTTAGTTTTGACAGTAGTTCAACGACTCAGTGATTTTGCCTCACCCTCCTATGGAACACTTTTCTGAAACTATGAGACTCCCGAATGATTTCATAGTCAGTGCAAGCAGATATCAGTAATCTATCCCTCTACAGTACATAAGTGATAATACATTATGGCATTATGTCTCTCTTTTCCAACAGTATCCTTAACGTGTACATGTTTTGTTTTCAAGGTGAGATTGCGAAACACAAGGGTCCTCCCGTCTTCACTCAGGCAGAAAGATACAAGATGGTGCGGGCCATAAAATGGGTGGATGAGGTTGTGGAAGGAGCGCCTTACGTCACCACCCTCCAGACCCTCGACAAGTACAACTGTGACTTCTGTGTGCACGGAGGTACAGGATATCACTATCTCATGTCTTCATTCAGACATAAAAACGAATAAAGTCATAAACACTTCCAAGTAAACAGTCCTTGATTCATTTCTCCACGCATATGTCATTAATGCTGTTATTTCAGATGATATAACACTGACAGTTGATGGAAAAGACACATACGAAGAGGTGAAGAAGTCAGGGCGGTACAGGTGAGTTCCCCTGGCAGGAGATTCAATAAGACAGGATGAGATGCTCTCTCTGTGTCTCTGAAAGAGTTTCATTGTGTGTTATGTTGTTCCAGGGAGTGTAAGAGAACCCAGGGAGTTTCAACTACAGATCTGGTCGGCAGGATGCTACTGATGACCAAAGCACACCACAGCAACATTGTGAGTACAACCTTGTTCTCTCTGTATGCGCCTATTAAACAGCACACGTCTAATACAACCTCTCTTTCTTTCTTTAGGATAGTTCAGACTATCAGCAGCACACAGACAACTTTGGAAAGGTAGGTACCAAACATATTCACAGCTTGTTTTAGGCCATCAACTAGTTATTATCAAACTCTCAGCTTACTACCAAACGTTCAACGTATATTTTAAATTATTTGCTCTTGATCTTCCTCTTACTTAACAGTTTTGTCATTCAAGTAGTGGCTATGTGTCCTGATGTCAACCATTCTTGCACAAAGGCCTCCACTGGGGACCCACTTTATAATCAAGTTATAGGCCTTGCCAATAAAACAGTCAATGCCACTTCTGTTCTTGGATGGTTCAAGTAGCTTAGAGTCAACATGCTGGGGATTGAAATAGTGTGATGGCAGTAGAGGGTCACTTTGCATTTGAACATTTAAGAATTTGGCGATGGTTGAATAAATGTGCTGGGGATTTGTGGGGCAGCCTTGTGTTAGCTATAAAGCAAAGGTGACATTGCTACTTGCACCACTAGGTGGCGATAATGTAGCGTTGTGATTCTTTTTGGCACACTGCTTGTACTCATTGTGCCTGTTTCTGGATTACATGGTCAGAAGGGCCACAGTCCCTGGACAGGGGTGTCTCAGTTCCTGCAGACTTCACAGAAGATCATCCAGTTTGCTTCAGGACAAGAGCCCCAACCCGGAGACACAATTATCTACGTGGCAGGAGCCTTTGACCTCTTCCGTATCTTTTAAGAACCTCATACTAGTGGTATCATGCACAAATTGTGTAAAATATTCATAATTCTATGGTTTGTAGCTAGAAAACTCATTAGCTTTTTAAAAAATGCCTAGTCCTTGACTTGTGCCCATGAAGACATTGGCCATGTGGACTTCCTGGAAGCAGTGCATAAGCTCGCAGAAAAGCCATACATTATAGTCGGGTTGCACTTTGATCAAGTGAGTCGCCTCACATTTCTTTTCACCTTTATGATGCATTTACTGCCTGCCTGAGTCTAGTGTTGACATTTCACTTTTGCATTTTCTCTTTATTCATATTTTTCAGGAGGTGAACCGCTACAAAGGGAAAAACTACCCCATTATGAATGTCCATGAGAGAACGCTCAGCGTGCTGGCCTGTCGAGTAGGTTCTTCTTCCACCTTCAAAACAGTCCAATGCAAAATTATTATTGATCTGCAAACATTTTGTGTGCAATCGGTTTCTAATTTCTTTTTGTGTCTTTACAGTATGTGTCAGAAGTGGTGATTGGTGCGCCCTTTGCAGTCACAAAAGATTTACTGGACCATTTTAAGGTGAGTACAAGCAATGACAGTATCCTCATCACTATATTCTCTTCAATTAAGGATAAATAAAAAAGCAACCTATTTGTCCCCATGCAGGTGGATCTTGTATGCCATGGGAAGACAGTAATATATCCTGACAAGGATGGATCCGACCCTTATGCTGTAAGAGTCCAATCACAGTCACATTTAGCTTTTTTAAAAACATCTTTATGAAATACTATGATCTGCAGAGATGATGAATCACATTCATATGACATTAATTTCCTTCATTTCCAGGAGCCGAGGAGAAAAGAAATCCTGCGGACTGTTGACAGTGAGAACAGCCTGACTACAGATGCCATTGTGCAAAGAATAATTAAAAACAGGTGAACTTCTCGGTAGAAATAGACCATTTTATGTTATAAACACAAAACATATTGTTCTTAGTTTAAATAAATCTGCACTTATTAAATCGGCATAAACTATTTCATTTGTTTGGATCCAGGTTGCTATTTGAAGCAAGGAATCAGAAGAAAGAGGCCAAAGAGATTGCTGTGATCCAGGCCCTGAAGCGACAAGAAGAGGAGAAAACAAAAGAAAGACCCCAGGCTGTCGTGTAGGAAGGCTCTAAACAAGCACCATCGACTAAGTGTCATCATAACACTGACAATTAATCTAAACTCAACATAACACTGACAATTAATCTAAACTAAACATAACACTGACAATTAATCTAAACTCATGTACAATGAAATCAGCTCTTATATGTGTTATGACACCGTCAGCACAACAATCCTGGCTGATAACAGCAGTCCTTAGGGCAGCCTGTTTATAGCTAGGAGGATATAGTCTGCTGTGTGATCATCAGGTATACACTGTGTGTGTGTGTGTGTGTGTGTGTGTGTGTGTGTGTGTGTGTGTGTGTGTGTGTGTGTGTGTGTGTGTGTGTGTGTGTGTGTGTGTGTGTGTGTGTGTGTGTGTGTATTGTGTGTGTGTGTGTGTGTGTGTGTGTGTGTGTGTGTGTGTGTGTGTGTGTGTGTGTGTGTGTGTTTGCGTGCGTGTGTGTGTATTATATTCGGCATATGCAATTACATGTTCATGTCAGTCACATATACAAACTATGAGGTTATGGACTGTAAAGGTTGGAGCAAGAAAGACAAAACTGTGTCTCTAAATGTCCTTTTTTTGCCTTCAGATATATGAGGGGATTTGGACATATGAAGGGCAAGTGTGTGGACTTTAGATGTGGGCCGGCATTAAACTGTAACAAGGAAGTGATTTGATTAGTCAATACCAGTTGCTGCTTTCTACCCAGCAATGGGTGTAGACCCACATCTGATCTATTTACTTGTAAATTGTATGTACTGTATATTATAGAGTGATTACTGGCTCTCTGGATGATGCTAAAAACACTAGAGAATTGCTTCACTGAATCTAACTTGGGTTGTTTGAATGTGAGAAGCTGTTGAAACTCTTCCGGGACCTCATGTAAATATCAGACCTTTCTCCAGACTGCACTGAATGCTCAGAAAGTCATCAGAACTGTTCAGTTTTACAGCAGAAAAGTTTAACTCAAAAAGCACATTGTCCAGACTTGCACGCCTGGCCTTTTGAGTGGAATTGTCATTTTTTCTTTTAACACTCCTTATCCTAATATATAGAATACCACAGAGTTTTAACAGACTACTTTTAATCATTAATTCGTTTTCTTAGTATAACTAGAGAACTATAACAGATGCTCAGTGATGTTAACTTTATCATAAAATAGACATATTACTGTCATTGAGCCCTGAACAAACATCTGTCTCTATATCAAATGGGATTAAATACTATATTTTTTGTAAATGTATATTTTACTCACATCCTCTCCATTAACTACTGTATAGATGGTTTCATATTGTTAAAAAATAATATGTATGTATGTCAATTTGGAATGTATTCAGTGTAGAGTATAATGTATTGTGCTATTGAGATCTCCCAGTTGATTAGGAACTGATTGGACTACAGTATACTACTGCTGGTAATAACAACACTTTAATCTGAAAGGCTACGTGTCATCCCTTTTTCCCTGAAACAGAAAATGTCTTGCTATAGGAACACTTCAATGTTTTATATATTTCTTTATTTAGTAGGCCTACGTTACAAAGCATGGATTTTTGGACACAAAAAGGACATTTGATCAAGACGTTTTTTTCTGCGTTTTGCATTATATGAGTCACACAGGTTGGTAAATGTCAGACCATTAAGAGGAGTTTTCTTCAGTAGCAGCTTGGTACACCGAAAAGGTCTCAAAGCTTTTTCCAAGAATATAAAAGTGCCTCTGCATTATGATCAATGTGAATGTCTGTTTAATCAGAACCATATCTCTTGCTGGCCTCTGCTGTTTATATAACAAGCATGCTGCAATGCTTTTAGTGACATTTAGAGAGATTTTACAGCAATGTACTGTATGAGGCCAACCCAGTCTCACGGCATTTCGTGTTATAGTCACGAAATAAATGTAATCTATTGATTCCTGTTCACCGACACGATGTTCCCATTTTTTGTCACACAGAATGAAAAGCAATGTATTTCTATTGGCAATAGAAACACATTGCTTTTGAACACGAATCAATAGATTACATTTCGTGACTATAACACGAAAGGCCGTGAGACTGGGTTGATGAGGCAGTGGTGGAAGTAGTAGGCTAGTGTTGTTTTGTTTTTTAACTCAAGTAAAAGAGGCAACGGCAAATAAATAATACTCTATCAAAAGTAGGCTACAAGGCATCCATGCATGTGCCCAGTAAGTTTTCTAGTATATTTAGACGTCTGCGCACCAACGTGAAATTATGCTCTTATTTTGAAGGACAGGTGTTCTTCCTCTTCAGAGTACCTCTGCTTTTAAAAGACAGGCTGTGCACACTTGCCTCTAATTAAGCTAATTAGCCCTTCCGTGTCTTGCTAGCTCTGTTGGCAGTTCAGGCTGTGACTCAAACGACACCGTCATGTTTTGTTGTCTAAATATACTGCCAGTCCCACTGCAGGTAGAGAATTTAATCAAACTGTACAACTAATTTATAAATGGAATGCTTTCCGATACAACTAGCCATGAGAGGTTCATGGTCATAAGTAATCATCTTTAAACGTTTTGGTTTCCTAACAGTGTAAATTGTCTTCCAGTCTAAATTGAGCTATGGAGTAAAACTTCAGGTAGCAGTTAAAGTATAACTTTTTCTCAAATGTAAGTTTGGTTACTGCTCCACATTTATTGAATTTCCTGAGTCTTTTACATGTAGTTTTAAATCACAAAATGTAGTAGCAATAAACGAACTAGCCTACCATTAAAGGAGGCTAGTTAGCTTCTTTTGAGCTAGTCAAACTTTCTTGCTGTAGTCCAACTAGTTTATAGATTACATTTATGATGTATATGAGTGCCAGAAAAATATTTTCTTGATGCTTCTTTTTTTGAAGAATGTCATTTACAAATGTGTTAAGTTAGTTTCGTATTTTATTTAAAAGTAGTTCCAAGGCATACATATCCAAATAAAAAATCTTCCTCAGGTCTGCATGGGATTGTGCCCGGATATCACAGAAGAGGGCAAGAAGGCTAAACTCCGGAGCTCTAAAATAGAGCAAGACATTTTTGAGCATGCAAGGACTGAGATGAATGTGGTGAAAATCCTCATGCTTGGTAAGTTAAAAGCATTTAAACACTACTGCAATGCATCAGGTTTCCCTCAAGTAGGCCTATTGGCCTTTTTGAAGTCAAATCATGTATTTGGTTTGTGTGGTAGGAGCTGCAGAGAGCGGAAAAAGCACCCTCATCAAACAGATTAAGATTATCCACAGTCATGGCTTCTCCAAACAGGACCTCATGAGTTTCAAGGTACTGGAGAGCTCTAAAAAATAAAATGAGCATTCATTTCAAAACCCTGAAATAGTATCATCTGAATCTAAAACAACTTGAAGCGCATGAATTATGTGGAAAAAGTTTGATTGTGATTCCCTTCACAGGCCGCGGTACTAGACAATTTGCTGACCTCTATGAAGTTTGTTCTTCGAGGAATGGGGATGCTGAGGATTAACCTTGCTAACAAGAAAAACAAGGTAAGGAATAAAGACACAGTTTTAGATTAAAGTCCTGCAAAGTCTGTTTGCAGTGCCTCTTTGTCACACTAGATGTCAGTCTTCATCTGTATACTACACTTGTCAGTAGATGATTGATAGAGATTGTAGTCATTATAACTTCTGATATCACAAAGGAGATATTGAGCACCTCTTCTTTGGAATAGTCTTCCATTTCAGATCTGCAAAGCTATTTCCGTTGACTCCTTTAAAAGCAAACGGAAAAACCATCTCTTCGCATCTGTCTTCCTTTTTAAACTAATTTCCATCACCGAGTTTCGGCTAATCATTACCATCACTTCCGTCGCATGCTTTTATCACATGGTAATACTTATGTTGATGTATAATGCTTATATCATTTTTATGCTATGACTTTTGTATTTTGTTTTTTGCTTTTGTTTGCTTTGTACAGCCCTTTGAGGCATTTCTTGTGATTTGGGGCTATAATACATTTTGATTTGATTTGAAAGGCACAACATATTGGTCCAGTTTTACCTTCAGGCATTACATTACTGTTACATTTGGGGGAGAAAAATGACATTGACTTCAAATGTAAATGTATATCGGGTCATCATCTAATTACCTTTTGTCCCATTTACTACAGATGCATGCTCGCTCCATCTTGTCCTGCAGTCAGTGTTTGGGAGACGACGACGAGCTGCTTCCTTTCGTGGCTCATGCCATATGTGCACTTTGGGCCGATCAAGGGGTGCGGGCAGCTGCAGCCAGAGGTTACGAGTTTGAGCTGAATGACTCTGCACTGTAGTGAGTAGAATGACCTTAAGTGACCAATTATGACAGACAGGGGAAATGTCAAGGGAAATTGCAGAAGCGTCTCGTCACCCCTGATCAATACAGAGCCAACAGTAAAGCAGGTGCTGAAAAAACCTTGTCTTCAGGAAATGATTCATGTGACATTTGTGGATCGGGATGCCTAATTGGGAGCAAATTTAAAAAGCAATGTTTGCAGATATCCAGATAGATAGGGAATTAGGGTGGAGAAGATGAAACCGACTACATTAAAGAGTCTTGTTTAATGAGAAAAGGAGTCAAACGGCATCATAGGTGTGAAGCTGTTGGGTAAGGGGGAAATGCTATAGAGGTTTTGTTGAAGTAGCATTAGCTTCTAATTCAAATATTTTGATATAACTGTATTTAACAACATTACATCTCACTGTGTTCTTTATACACCGTTTAACAATTATAAACAATCAACATATGTCCCAGTTAATGTCCTGTTGCAGAGCAAGAAACCCATAAACTACATTTATATATTTTTCAGTTTTGCTGTTGCAGTGTAAGTGAGTAACATCAGCTGACAGGAAGTATACATGGACCCAAGCTGTTTCTAGAAAATGTATTTAGTTAACAAGGTATTTACTAAAGCTTTCCTAAAATTAGATTTTAGAAAACGGCGATATATCAACCTTGCTTGCAATATAATTGAATAGTATCATTATGCAAATTGCCAGATTCTCACCAATACACATCCTAGCAGAACTGTTTTATTTATAACCTGTGTCCTTCAGCAGTTGTGCCCTACAATTTGTTTATCAAAAAAGAAACGGCCGGCGAGTGTCATGAAATCCAAACCTTCCCACTCTGCATAGATCCTTCTGTTGAGTGTGTTGTGTCATCAGCTGAAGTGTGGATCATTAACTGAAGTGTGGACACATTTTTGCTAAATGGCAATTTTAATTATTTATTAAAAGATACTCCAGCTAACCAGACTGACAGAATTGATGTGACGGATACATAACCGGAACTCGATTAGTTTTGCTGCTGGAGGATGATATGAATCTCCGCTGGCTGTCTTGCGGTGTTCTCACTCTGCTGGACCCCACACTGATTTCCCCCCGCAGAAATATTGGATTATACGTATCGTGACACACTTGATTTCCCCAGGACCTGAGGGCACGTCAACGTGTAAAAATACTTCTTGGACATTAGCTTTGGCATGAATCAAACTCTCAATGTAGCTGGAAGGAAATTTGAAGTTACAGGGAATTAACGATAGCTATAATCTGTGTTTTTAAACCTTTTAACTTATAAGGTTTCATGAATGTGAAGGGTTCATTCAACAAATAACCCTACTGGAGACGTCTCACTTTGTAATACCTGACATTCTTACTTATCTGTAATTGGTGGTATTAAATCAATGTTAAAAGGTTTATCTATACAATAAGGGTCTAGCATAACAAACCTTCCTGCTGCTAGATCTTCACACCTCGTGGACAGAAGGTCAGGTTACAGCACACATTAGTGCTCTGAATAAAGAGTTTTTAGATCATATTTGTGCTCCATAACTAGCATTTCACTCATAGCATTGTCAAACCCATGATGCACAGCTGGAAAACTAAAAATAAGGATACACATATTATACCTTTTTTTTTTTTTTTTTTCATCCATGTGTTTTGCCTATCAAAAACACAATGTATGTCGGTTTCATTTAAGTATGTCACTTGAGGGAATTAATCAGATTTCAAACCGCTCCCTCTCGAGTCGCACAATACTTTTTTCCGGCAGTAATACTCCCAAACACCTTTAAGCAGACTTTGTATAAAATGAGTGTAACAAAAGCAAAAACTGGATGCGCATCTCCTAACAATTGACTTTTGATCTTCACTAGTTGATGCAGTTTCTTTCGTTTTCTTCCCTCCCCAGTTTCTTCGAGAACCTGAGTCGAATAATTTCTCCCAAATATGTTCCTATGGAGACGGATGTTCTGAGAGTGAGATTGAGGACCTGTGGAATCATTGAGACGCAGTTTCAGCTTTATGACGTGATCTTCCGGTAAGGCTTTCTACACTGGCAGGCAAAGTCAGCAGCTTCTTAGCTTTATGAGAGGGTTATGTTTTTGGAAAGTAAAAACCCAAACCAGAGAGGAGGTGTTCTAATTTATACGCCTGTATCTCACAATATTGTAACTGAACAAAAAAAGTACATTTGACTAAATGTTGGCAGTGTTGGTTTTCCTACAAGCACATTTCACACCTCTTTAATGGAATTTGAACTGAAACCGGTGACAATTTGATATGGAAATATCCACCAATAAATAACCTTTCGGAAGTCAGTGACACATTGGTTTTCCAACCAACGGTTTAACAAAGAAAAACCCAAACTCTAGTTTATTGAGAACTTTAGTGTTCTTTTCCATCAGAGTTGAGGGAGGCAGCTGCCTGAGACTCAGACATGAAATATTAATGTCTTCACTGTGCCTGGTTATTCCAGGAATAATAACACGCATGTAAAGGAAGTGTAGACATAAAACATACAACAAAAGTCACCCTCCTTTCCCCTTGGACCTTTTTGTTTTCAGCGTAAACAACCAATCAGGATTCTCCCTGCACCGTGTGCTGTGAAGACATTCAGTGTGCTTGTTATAATAAATCTAATCCATACAGCCAATGACTTGATATATATTGCACTTTTTCGTGCTTCACTTAAGAGATGTTAAAGAATTGGACAATTTTATAACACTTTCTTTTTAGATCATGTGTCATCAAGATGTATTTTTGAAATAAAACAAAAGTACATCTCATCAAATGATGTTCTAGATCTCACTGTTTTAATAATAAAGTGACTCTGTGCAGCCACTGTGTTCTTGAGTGATGAAGAGTGAAGATATTGTGTTATTAGGTGGTTTCCACTTTATGGCTAATTTCAATAGTGATATTTCCCCACGTATTCCGACCTGTATACGTTTCGAGGACTGTTCTGCTTTCATAGAAAACTCCTTATTTTGTACAGTATGGACCTTTTTTTTCAATGCAGAAACTACTGCCGTCAAATGCCGTAGTTGAGGCTTTTTGTCCCCCAGCTTGTTAACCCTGACTCTCGCCCCGGAGTAAACGCTTCATTGCCTCTGACATGAGTACTGCAATCATGCACCTGGAGACTGTCTGGCCCAAATGGGAACTCATTACCTGTGTCAGCGAGACCCTCCACTTCACTTTTTGCAAGATCACTTTTTGAAATGGATTGCCCCAATATTTGAAATGGGTTTGGATTATCATTATAATTTTGTATCGAGTCATTTGTTCAACATTTGTCATGTTGCCTATGATTAAACGTTTTATTTTTCGATTAACTCTTATCTAAGATCTTGCAAAATCGGAAACATCTTTTTAATCTCTTCTCAAAACATGTCTTGTTATTACTTACTTACTACATTTTTATATTGCTTTTTAGGGATTTTATTTACATGGTTAGTTATATGATTTTGTAAGTTGTATGATTTTAATTTATTGTAGGCCTGAAATGTTTGGTTTCTTTTTAAAACTATGAAAAGAAATCACTTGGTAACTCTTTTGTTGTTAAAGTGCTGTATAAATCAAGTGTTTTATGTAGTGTATTTAATATTGTATCCCTTAATTATGTGCTCATTTGACCAGTCTCTTGGAAATGGTCATGCACAAAGAATCAAACTTTTTCTATGTTCTTGCACATGTTGTCTATGTGTATAAAGCACGGATGGATTGTGTTTGCTTATTGCAGGATGTATGACGTTGGGGGTCAGCGCAGTGAGAGGAGGAAGTGGCTCAGCTGCTTTGACTGTATTCAGGTTGTGCTGTTTGTCGTGGCCCTCAGCAGCTATGATATGACGCAGACAGAGGACCCTTCAGAGGTATGTTAGGAAAAACACTAATCCCATAAAACGAATGTTTTTTTGTTTTTTTCTTCACTGAATATAAATCGAATTGGGTGCAAACTACATCAATTGTATCTGTCTCTCCCTTCCATATTTTTCATTTTATTAGAATCGACTGCAGGAGAGTCTTGAACTTTTTACATCCATCTGCACCAACACCGTCTTTGGCAGCACCTCACTGGTAAGTTTATTTGTACACATTTCCGATGGCTTTCTGAAAGGGCAGAATGCTAAAAAATAAAATAAGGCCTCACTTAAGAGCTTTATGTTTATTGCCTCTGCCTGTGTGTTATGCTCTCACGGTCTGTCATGTCTGATTTTTTTTTTTTTAAAGCTCATCCAACCCTCTGGAGGTGACTGAAGCACTGAGTGGAGCTTTGAGTAATCCTTCATGCCAAACAGACTGGACACAAACTGGCTAGGATTGACATGCATAATTGGCAAACAACATTTAATTGGGATGTAGGGCATGTGGTTTCTGTTTAGCAAGTTGGCTGTGAGCACTGTTTAACACTGTCATTTAGTTTGATTACCTGTTAATGAGTTTTTGGGGCTATTTAGCATGAATGACTTGTTGCTCAGCAGCATTTATATATACACTCGATTGACTCGAGGCATTTAGGGGGGAGGGTTGTCGTACAGCCCTGTTTAGGACTTCAAAGTTGTTTTCATACACTACATTAATGCTGAATCCACTTTTTAGTGACAGTCTTGTGTTTTCGTGGACTGCTCCATGGACTAGTCTGTTCACCTGCAGTGTATTAGTGTTATAGAGTGTGTGTGGTTTTAGCTGATGCCTTGCTGAACAGCAGGGTACTTTCTATGTATGTTATGGACGCATGTATGTATCGTGTCCCTTGTGAGTGGAGAGATTCACAATGTCCCCATGTATCCTGACATTTCTGTTCATATACAGCACTACGGGAGTTCCATTTTATTTATGAGGGTGATGCTTTCATTTCTTATTTTCAAACTAATGTTATGCTTGTGAAACAGATTTTCAGAATTGTACCGATGTTATACTGTTGAATGATGGAAAACAATCCACCTGACAGTACTGGGCCCTTTATAGAGTGTTGTGTACACTGTTAATTTAAACTTTACACTGTTGGTGTATATCTCTCTCCTCTCTCTCCTACAGATTCTGTTCATGAACAAAACTGACCTTTTCCGGGACAAGATCCTACGCTCCGGAAGACACTTGAGATTTTACCTTTCTAGTTACACAGGTATGTTGGAGAGGATGGCTTTTTCAAGTCTGTATGATGTGAGAGCTCAACTCTTACTACTCTGGTGGGCACATTGGACATATTTTCTATATATATATATATCTGTCTTATATTCCTCTAGGAATTAGTTGTATGTGTCTCTTTATTTTTTTGCTGGATGTGTCGAAGCATCCCCTCTGTCCGTGGGGTAATCAGAATTCCTCCTGGCCAGAGGCTTCACACACAGTCCTCTTTTTGTTTGTATATAATGTATTCTTCACTTTATGGTCATACATATTTTCAACTCAGTCGCAGCAACTCACAGGTGAACTTTGCATGTTTTATTTGGGAATTGAGGAACACTTTTGTACAGAATTTCACTGTTAGCCATGTTCTTGTTTTATCAATATTAATGAATCGGACTGAATCAGTGGAGTTTGAACTCTTCACTTTACCGAACACTGTTGGTCTCAAGATCTGTCATTTGTTTCCCTTGATCTTCCTCCAGGAGCAGATGGTGACGTGGATGCTGCAGCCCACCACATCACCGCCATGTTCTCCTCGTGTAACAGCAGTCCTGACAAACCCGTGTACCACCACTACACCACTGCCACAGACACCTCCAACGTGCAGGTGGTCTTCCACATGGTCATAGATCAGGTCATGAAGGCCAATCTAGCTGATGTCCAGATGCTATAAGTTTCCTGAAGGCTGCTGGGATGTGAATCATTTTAAAGTTAATTTTATTTAGTTTTCCTGTGGAAAATGTTTTTACTTTTTTTTTCTTCAAAATGTTAAATGTATTTAAGCAGCTAATATGTTTAATATTATGAGGGTGAACGTTCCCTAGTTCATTTTAAGACATTTTAAATAAAAATATGTATTGATACGCATGGTCTATTTTTTTTTTTAAAGCCATTTATTTACAATATCTCAGCTTTACTTCTCCAGTTAGAATAAAACATCACCATATAAAACATACATTTATTTACTGACTTGAATGTAAACTATAACTTTAATCAGAGTTTTCCTGGTTTAAATCTTACACTTAGTGCTTTTTTAATCCCCCTACATTGAATTCATGACCACAATTATTGTGCTGATTATACAGAATGTAAGACATATTCATGTTTGCAACATTTCTTGTAGATGAGAAGGAAAAAGATCATTACGTTCTGATTTGTTTTGCATTCAGTAATTTCAACACATGGCTGCAGTATGATTCATTTATTAATGAAATCTCAGATCAAAAATGTACATTAATACATAACTTTTACAGCTTAATGTTTTAAAGACTTGTATAATAAATAAGTGAAATGGTACATGGAAATTAGCATGTCTTCAATCTAATGCAAAAAGGCGTCAAACTAAGCTAACTCTAAAAGTGAGAGATGTACAGTTTTATAAAGAAGTAGTCTTCATCCCTGGCCCAGATGTCGGCCTCAGTCTCCTGCACAGTCTGTGGAGTCCAGAGTGAGGAGGACGTCCGCTTGGCACTTAAAGGATCCCTTGCTCTCCTGGAAGAGTTCACAGCTCTGCAGGTCAGGTGTGATGTCTTTGATGCAAACAGGCTGTTAGGGGAGAAAAATAGAAATGATGCTCTTATCTTTAAACAAATGTTACCTTTTAAGTAAAGTACACTTAAATCAGTGAAAATAGTGTAATTTTGATTCCCTAACATACTGTATATTCCTGAAGAGAATTATACTAGTACGGAATTGATTTCGACAATACTTATGTTTCTCCTCTTCCTCTCACTGCAGCACAATTACTTGGTATTTATACCTCAATGTTTCCATTTTTTTTAACTTTATTCTAATTCTCATTTGAAATGGAACTTCACTGACCTTTGTTCTATACTAAATTTGACAGTTGCATTTAATACTAACTTTGCAGACTGATTTAACATTTAAAAAACATTATTTCAACTTATTAAATGTAATTTATTATTCTTTAAAGGACTATATAAAATAGTCAAAATGATCTCCACCTCTACCAGCAAGATCAGATGCTTAATATGTGCCTCAGTAATAAATATAACACCTGGAAGTGCCATTGTGCTAAATAATGAGCCCTTTATGCTGTTCATTTTATATACAAGGCTTTAAATTATAATTAAGTTGTTGTGAATCTGAATTGACTTCTACCATCTTATCCATCCAGCTTTCTTTACATTTGCTAATAGTGAATAGTTTCAATGGTGCTGAGTCCTGCCTGAATTAACCACGAGTGCAGATGTAGAGGATCTTTGGTTTTATAAAGATATACATTGATACAAATAATGTATAGTTTGATCCTAATATTATTCTACATGCTAGCCTCACTATTGAGTGCAATGTTAATAGTTAAGTAATTTCTAGTTTCAAGCCGGGCTCTTTTTTATTGAATTTCTTTAGCATCTGATTCTGTAGCATTTGTAATTTGAATGAAAATTGTATTATTTAGGTTAAAGCATATGCGATTTTAAATATGTAGAGTATTAAAGCCTACACGTTTGCACTCTTCGCCAAGTTACCAGTCGCCATGCGTAATGCGTAAAACTGCAAGCCATCCCATCCAACCCCACTCACCATCGTCTTCAGGATGAAATTGTTCTGAGTGAGTTCAGGGAACACGCTGTTGGTCGCCAGCTCGCCGCTGTCTGACGAGTCTGGCTCGGCTCTCCGGATGTACGGGGATCTACGGATACCGGACAGCAACCCGGACGCCCTTCCCACTGAGTAGTAGCTCGGGCCGGCCACCTGCTTGTACCATGCCTGCGTCGGACTGCAAGCCACCAGCGCGGAGATGATCACGATGGGCAGCACGAGTTTAGCGTGCATTTCCATGTCGAGAACTGAGGCTTGCTCCTGCGCTCCTCCAACTCTCTGGTGGTCGTTGCTGTCACCGCTTCACTCTTTATAGGGACCCCGTGATCATCCTCTCACACTTTCGTCAACGCAAACGGCTCAGGAGGGATGGGGTGGGGTTAATTTACACACGACGCACCTCAGATAAACCCACTACTCCTGGCTAACTTTAAGCCATGTATTATTTCAACCCAGTCTCACAGTCTGCGTACAAATGACACGGCTTTGCAAAGGCGTGCAATAGATACGCAGAAGTCCGATTTTGCGTGCTTATGATACGCTGATATTGCACCTCAAACATTAAAACAAAGAGCATTGCTTCAGGCTTGATCGCCGTTCCAATTAGTTTTAATGTTTGCGGTGCAATAAACGACACAGCAGCTTATTGGGTTATGGGTTAGGGTTAAATAAATGGCAAAGATATGTAGAAAATAAACGTATTTGACATACGTTCATAACAAACGTAACGTGGGAGTATCATATGCACGCAAAATCGGATTTCTGCGTATCTATTGCACGCCTTTGCAAAGTCGTGTCATTTGTACGCAGACTGAAGAGGGTGGGTTGATTATTTTTCAGAAAAGCAACTCGGAAGTCTCGTGTAATAAGTCAAAGCAGGTTAATGGTGTAAAATAACTTTTTTTTTAAATAACATTTTTGTTATAATTAGAGATTTATAGAATATACATTTTCGCCTTCCAATTACTCAAACGTAAAAGTGCACATTATGACAGACTATTTCAGATGTTTTATTATAAGCTCTGATGTACTATTATAATTTTTCACCACCAACTATTAAAAGTAATGTCAACAATTATATAAATATTTTTTAAACTGTTCATGACAATGACTGTGCTCAGACCACATCAAAGAAACATAAGATTTCCAGTTATACACAGGATGTGTTTTCTCCATTCAGTGCTTGTTTCTCACACGGAAACAGAAAAAGCTTAAGCCCTATCTCGATTTGTTTTGCTCCATTACAGGAAACTACACCACATGAGAAGCAACTGGAGACAGAGATTGTGCATCTTCAGGCCGTTAACAATCCATGCATAGCTCTCATAAACAAATCATTATTTTTTTTACTTAATGATTTCACTCAAGCTGTAACTGAAAACATGCGCATTGAAAAAAGAAACTTGACATGGACTCTGATTCCACTTTTTCTGGCAGGTAGGTACAACATTTACATATAATTTAATATTTTATTAAAATGATAATAATCTTACAGGATATGAATCAATCAATCTCTTTCAGGTGTTTTCTGCAATACAGGCAAGGTGATATATCAGCAGCCGCATATCTGTGCAGTGAAAGGCTCGTCCGTTATCATCCCTTGCTCCTTTAATGGTCTGAGAGTGAAAGTATTCAGGTGGGTTCATGCCAAGTCTCATTTAAAGGGAACTGTAATATATGGCAGTGACTTTAAATCAGCCCCAAAAAGGTTCCGTTTTAATCGGGACAATCGAAAAAATTGTTCTTTGAAAATACACCCAGTGGAGCGAAAGGATGCAGGAAAATATACGTTCAGGTTTACAAATAACTCCAAAGAGCTCAGATGGAGTCATCAAGTTGGCTCAACATTAAAGGTTGTTGGTAAGTTGCTTTTCCGTAAAATAACTGATGAACACTCTCTTCAATCTGTCTGGTTTGAAACTAAAGCCATACTTAACTCTTCTAGATTTGAAAGTCTCTGTGACAAATCCTGATGGAAACAGAGCAACGCAGGAAGGCGATTCTTTGAATCTCACTTGCACACACAGCTGTGATGGCGGTAGTCTTTCATCGGCCTTCACCTGGTTTAAAAATGGAGAACACATCAATGAAGGATCTATTCTTTATTTAAGCAACGTGTCTTCCGAAAACACTGGAAACTACATTTGTTCTCTAAAAACACACACAGGAGCCACTTCAGGAGCCATATATATTGATGTTGAATGTAAGTACTGGACACAAGTTCAACACTTTTACATCATTTGAGTTAACTAATTTCAGACATGATTTCTCTGACAGTAAATCTTTTTTCCAGATGGCCCTAAGAACACATCAGTGTCTATCAGTCCGTCGATGGAGGTAGACGCCGGGACAAACGTCAGCTTGATCTGCAGCAGCCATGCAAACCCCCCAGTGGAGAATTATACTTGGTTTAGAGTAGATGTTAACTTTAGTAAGGATGTCGGACACCAGTCTGTGTTTTTTCCTGATGATGGTGGCAAGTATTTATGCTGTGCCACCAACAAACACGGAAGCCAAAACTCCTCTGTTGTGGTTTTACAGATAAAAGGTGAGTAGTTTAACATTATTAATGTTACCAGCAATTGCAATATTAGACATGTTGTAAAAGAATTAAAAGTTTAAAAGAAATCTAAAAGTAGTCAAAAAACAAAGAAATGTACTGTTACAGGTACGTTACTTATGTTGGGGATGAATAAGACCCAAGAAAACCTCAAATGAAACATTTTTGTATTATTATTTATTAAATACAGTATGATGTGTTAATATACTTAGCCCTCTGCCTTGTTTCACAGCATATTGGACAACTCTCCCCAGAGATGTACTTATCATTACTGCTATCGCTGTGCTTCTCATTGTGATTGCTCTTATCGCCATCAGAAGGTAAGCTTTTATTGATTTTTGATGTCACAATTTCCATTTCTGAAACATAGATAAGGAAAGGAGCACGCTCACTAAGAGGGTGAGGCCTGTATGAAGTACTAGATATTTTGTTTGTGTCACTGAGCAGCGGGGAAGTACATGTGTAGAAACATGCAAGTACAGACATTCATACTTAATGAGGAAAGTAATGAGTCACATCCATTGGCCTCAGATAAACTCAAATCTATTAGCAAGTGCCATTGCTGATTGAAAGTATCTCCTGGCTTTCGATAAACATCTGATGCGGCAAAAACTACGACAGACCACAAATGAGGTCCTTGGAATGAGTTATTCATTGCTCAGGGGTCTGCTGATGTATATCACAGCTTTGGTTATGCCTTCTAGCATTGTCATGATTCTATGTATCTGTTACAGATTCCACAAAGCAAGTACAACAGAGACAGACTGTGAAGAGGAAATACAGGTCATTGTTTTTGTTTATTCAAGACTGCATTCTAGTCTATATTATATTACAATTATGGAAATCTGTAGCAGTTCAGTTTGCAACAGAGTTCAGCAAAAGAAAGGCACTTCTTAAGTCTCTGCTGTGTGACAGACACCATGATGGGAAAACAGATGACATTGTTTTTGTTGTATGGGTAACACTGAAGCTCATGATAAAACCATAAAGGCAACATTTGATTACATTGTTCAACATATTCTATTTTAGGATTGTATGGAGAATACAGACTATGTCAACTGGCTCAGCTGTGACACTAACCAATCACAAGAGGGACATCCGAGTGAGGGGGGAGCAGAAGTCATCTATACGACTGTATACTTCAATCACAGAAACACGTCTGTATTTTAAAATACATCTTATCAATGTTGTCAATATTGTTGCATTGGAGCTACATGTGTTGATTGATCATATCATCTGCAGGGAGCAGCAGATGGACTTCCATATTGAGTAAGATGTATTAGCATCACTGTGTACAGGTAAAGCTTTTGAAATATTGACTCATTGTTATGTATTTTCTTTTACATAAAACACATTAGAAACATTTTTGTTCTCTTTTTAAGGAACCAACTGTCCAACCTACCCTTCAGATATCAAGCCTCCCTCACTACGATATGTGAAGAAATTGTGTTTTGAGGGTAATTGGTTTATGAGTTTGTTTGGAAGTATGTGAAATAAATATGTATTTGCCGCAATAAAGGCTTTCCAACTTTTTTCAAATGCAGTTGTCCTTCAAAAAGACTTTGATGTGTTAAATGTATGATATTTAACAGCTGGTGTTCTGTATTAGTACAGTATATACAATGTACAGGTTCAACTACAGATCACATATTGCATGCCTATAATACAATTTTGCATTTGAACACTAAATTACCAAAAGTAAACATAGATAGTGAATACAATTGAAATGCTTAAATAATTGAGTACTTGCTTGATAAGTACTTTGTGTTTTTTAAAAATCACAATACCACAGTTCTGTGCTGTGTCGACAAGACAGCAACATCATAACGGCTTGACATTTCCTATAAGCAGGGCCTGGTTTCGTGTTTACCGGCACTCGGGTTACAATTGATGCCAAGCCAGTCTGTGGTGTGAGTGACCTGATTTGAGGGGATTTTATAAGCTGATACAAAACTTTACATTACAATAAAGGAAACTTTGCTTAACAGAAGAAGAAGAATAGGAGAAAAGACACGCTAACTCTGGAAACAGTTAATGTAGCCTGCAGAAACTTGAAGATCCAAAAGCATCTTAAGGATTATTCAATTCAATTCAAAACCTTTATTTATCCAGGTAAAATCCCATTGAGATCAATTATCTCTTTTTCAAGGGAGACCTGCAAGATTACTTGACTAAACTTGAGTATATGGCATACAGGTATAGCACTGTCATTGTATCTATACAGCATATGTATACTGTTTGTTATTCCTTATAATACTGCTGCACTGAGGTTGTCTGCAAACATGTTAAAGTTATTAGAAGCAAGTTAAACCAACGCGAACTTGAACTAAGTCATTTTTTCTTTTGTTCGTTTTGTTTTGTTTATTAACATGTTCAATACATCGACTAACCAAGGGAAGGAAATGGTCAAAGACAACTATTGAGAGATAACTATGTTAACTGTTAACGATTTTTCAATTTTATATATATATATGTTGCAATGGAGGTATGTGTTTTCATTGACTGTATCTCCTGCAGGGGGGAGCAGATGGATTCTCATGATGATGATGAAGGTGTGATTTACTGCACAGTGTGCAGGTAAAGCTCAGTGAGCACTTACACGTTTCAACAATAAAAGACAGTGCAAATACTTTTCTTATTTATTTCTCAGGGACCAACTCTTTGAACCTCTATATATTAAAAAAAACTCTCTAATTAGACAACACACATACATCTTTCACACTAACTGGATACAAAATGTGCCAAAGTATCACAAAGTTTTACATCAACAATATTTTGTGTGTCTTTTAGTTTTTCTATCCAGACTAATTACTGTTGATTAAACAGAAGACAGGGGCAACAAAAGCAACTTTAAGATTAATGTTAGCTTTAACAAATGTGCACCAACCTCACAACTTGATAATAGTTTTCTGCTGGCACCCAAAATGATTGTCAAATAAGCAAACATATCTCAAGGTTTCAAAGAGACAACAAAGTTCAGCTACATGGCATTCAATGTTTTATCTTGATTCAGCTGAGTGGCCAATAAACATGATTATTGTAAACTCCATCGGACACAATCCTTATACAGCTTTTCAAGAGTGTCCACTGGGTTGATTTTTTTTTAACTTGACTTGTGCGTGCATGTATTTCAGTAAAAAAAAAATTTTTTTTGTGTATAGGGACGCTTTTTTGAACAAGTTGCAAAGTGAAGACAGGTTTCAACACCTTTGTCACAATCTCCTGACCTGGGAGTGCAGTCTAAGTAACCATGGTAACACACCCGCACAAAAGGAACCTGGAACATTCAAGATAGGTGTTTCAGCAAGATTAGTTAGGTGACTCATTTTCATTATTTCAGCCATCATCGTCCACGTATTAAATCCTTTGGTGAAGAGGAGAGGACTAGTTTCCGAAAAAACTAAAACTTTCATATACTGTATATCTGCTCTTTTGCATCTCACCCAGACTTTCAGATTAGTCTGCCCCCTGCTGACAGTTTAAGAGTATAGCATCCTAAATGGTAAAAGTTGAGCCTTCAAAGTTTCTAAAGCAGGGGTGTCAAACTCATTTTAGTTCAGGGGCCACATACAGCCAAATTGTATCTCAAGTGGGTCGTACTAGTAAAACCATAGCATAATAACCTATAAATAATGACATCTTCAAATTGTTCCCTTTGTTTTGGTGCAAAAAAGTACAAGTAGCCTACATTCAGAAAATGTTCACATTTAATGAACTGTCTTTTACAAATTGAATTATTTTACATTCATTTTCCCATTTGTGTAGTATTCCTGACCACCTTAACTGACACCACCATACAAACTAAAGTGGGTACTATTAAGGAAAAAAGTTAAGTTAGTGTAGAAAAATGAATACATACAAAATGTAATCTGTCATTTTTACACTTTGCAATGTCATCCCGCGGGCCGTATGTTGGACACCCCTGTTCTAAAGCATGCAACACACAACCTCCCTCAGTGGAAAAGTGGGTGTCATGTGAGAGCTGAAGAGAAGCAAAGCACATAACTGGATTACAGGTCATATCAGATGCATCACATGGTCTTAAGACTTAATGTAACACAGCACAACTGCAGGTTATACATGAATCCATTTAGGAGAATTTACTGGGACATGCCAGTATGGATTTTTAATGTAAAACAACACTGCCCACAATATATTATTTTCTTTGTATATTTGTTTCTTATTAGCCTACTCACAGCAAGAGCATAATGCAAGAGCTACAAACGCAGTTAAAGACCAGTTTTTTGTCTTGGTTAAGTGCTTTCAGCCTAAATCAAGTTTTAAATTGACAATGTAACAACACTGACTTTGCTATGCTGAGTGCATATACTGTCATTATAAAGTAGTATCTCACCAGGTCCATGTGCTGCTACTGTTACGGAAATCTTAGACCTAGTCAATACTGTGGAGATATACAATTAGAATGATCAATCAATAAACTGGTGAAACAAACAGAGTTGTCTTTCTGGTTCTTTATTCGAAGCTTCGAAGGTACAGGTCTCACAGGGTACAGAGTATTCTGGAAGAGTGCACAGAGGCAAGTGTGTGTAGGTTTTATAGGATCTTGACAGTTCAACAACACTTCGTCACCTGTCACTGGGACACTGTGTGGCAGGGCTGGATGGAGAGATAAGCAACGCCTGCTTTCCAGAGGAACAGAAACTGTACATTGCTAATATAGTAAACCAGGAACTGGTTAAAGACAGATGGAAGTGAGGAAAGCAGGAACTCATTGTGGGTCAAGGACAGATATATTTACATTACATGACATGTCACTTGTTAGACGCCTTTATCCAAAGCGACTTACTCAATACAGTGGACAATTCCCACAGGAGCAATTTGGGGTGAAGTGTCTGGCCCAGGGACACAACGACATGCTGACTGCAGTGGGGTTTGAACCTGTGAACATCTGATCCCCATACCAAGGCTCTATCCACTACGCCACACACCTCCGTGGCACCGTGGATATAACTGAGTAAATCAGGAACTCATTGTGGAACAGGGAACAAACACATGAACTTGTTCAAGACATTGTGCTTCACCCCCAGACATTCTTAAGGTTAATCATAAGTTGAACAAAGGACATGAACTGAAATACATCATCATGGAACTACTGCATTTGGTTTTACCATATTAGGTAACATATAACGTTTGCACATCATATAAAGTTTGCACTACATATAAAGTTTGCACTACATATAAACTTTGCCACTACACTACGTTGAGGACATATTATGCCGTGGAAGTCGGCTCACTTAATACGCACACTTTAACACATCATGGAGGAGTTTCTAGTAGCCTAAAACCTGAGTTATCTGTGATTTGAACTGCTGTGGTGTCCTTGCTCAAAGTCAAATTCAAAGTAAAAGACAGCCACATGCAGCCTTTCTATATGAGCCTTAATGCTTTGTGACCATATAGTGAATGCACTGAACAGAGTTTAAGACAAAAATGCATGCATGGTTGGGTAACAGTATCCTTGGAACAATCCTAGTTTAGGAGAAAGGTAGGCAAAACTCAAAATGTATCATTTTAAATGCATCAAAAAGTATACATGACTGGACGTCAAAAACATGTCACCAAAGGTTTTCTAATGAGAGCACATACAGACTTGATAATATATGAACCATAGTGTCTTAAGAAACCTTTTTATCTTCTTAAAAAAATCACACAATCTCCCAAACAAATATGTAACTAAATCACTTGATGGCTCATGACTCCATATCAGCCAACCATGCTTTCCATTGTCCATTCATAATAGGATCGCTTAATTACATATTTGATTGTGCAATAATCAGATAGTTAGTCTGTTCTTGTGTTAAAAAGTAGCAAAAAGTATCAAAGGCGTACTTGTTTAGGTATCAACATTATAATTATTGAATTGTCAGAGTCCTTATAAGTAACCTTGTACACCTGTGCATGCACATTTGCTCTGGCCTCCTTCCCATAATTAAAAATACTGATATGAGTAATTCAGAAACATTACTAGCTGACGCCCATTTCCAAGAAAACGAAACTTTATAGCACATGCGGAAATGAAATAACAGTAGACCTGGGACTCTCTGTCGGTGCATCTACAGCAGATATGAATCCTGAGGGTTTCCTTTCAAAAACAGAAGAAAGACGACGCATCCAGCTCAGGTAGGACTGCTAACAAGGTTGTTACTGCTTTATAGAAAACTACATGTCAAGACGACATATTTCATTTGATGACAAACAAGAAATAAACGTATTGTCCTATTAGCTAGAGTAGCTATCAGACCTCGCTGTCACTGGACATTTCTAACTAAGGATGTAATCAAATGTGGTGTCATTTCAGATTACACTGTCCTTTAACCTGCAAATGCTATTGCTTTTCTGTTATTTAAGTCAGATAAACAAACAGACCCGGCTAGTGTTGGCTAACGAAACTGTCACGCAGCTAATTAGACAGGCTGTTAAATAACAAGTGGGTAAGCTAAGCTAAGCCAAAATGTAGTAAGGACACTTCTTTATTGTGACAAATAACTGTTGCTGCAGTTGATACACGTGTCGTGATTAAACAATGATAATGGTAGAAGATGTGCGTGCTGTGTGTTTATATAGTTAGCATTATCCGTTTTGAAGCTGGCTTCGAAACAGGAAGTGACGCAACGCAGGATTTACGAAGCAAACATGTGATTGGCAGAACTTTGGAGCCAAAGATCTTTTCGTGAACAAGAGGCATCACTCAAGTGAAGTTTGAAGAACATTGTTCCACATTTTAGATTGTAAAGATAAGATGAGATAATTATTCACTTTATTTATCCCAATTATGGAAATGCTTTCGTCACAGCAGCATAGATAAGACATAGCACATGAATTAGAGGTTAATAAAACACAATACAAATACAAAAACTTTACTTTATACATATCAGCAGCAGTAAAACTAAATATGCAAAACAGTGAATATATATATCAATCAATAATGAAGGATATATATCTATAGTATAGAGTATATATGGACATATGATAACTCTCTCACCCCATCCAGATAGTACAATATTTGTCTTTAATAATTATGTAGTTTGGAGTACAAATGAAAACACAAACCTAGTGTACACTCACACTGTCAACCCTATCTCCATATGATTTTCTTCGATTTGGACCTAGTTCATGCATATCTATATTGCGACATTAACCATTTGTTGAAGTGATTATTTCAAGCATTTTCATTCGATAAATCATCCCATATTTTCACAGTGAAAGAGAAAGTTGAGTCACACGATTTAAATATATTAAAATATGGAAAGTGAGTCTGCCCCTTATTTTAAAGGCCCTGATGTTGATTTCCTAGCATGCCACTAAATCTTAGGAACATGTGCTAAATCCTGACCTGAACAGACAAAATATGTATAACAACAGGAGCAAAGTGCAAAATTGGGTTGGTATGAACAAGGCTGATGATAAAGTAGTTTTTTTTTAAAGCATTGTTTTATAAGTCTTTCGTTTTTTCAACAGTAGCTGATAACAGACAAGTAGCAGGCTGAGTGCATACTGTCGGCATAAGACGGCATCCTGCCTTATTAAATGCACTGCCCACCTTGTCTACTGTACTGGCCTTTGCACCCTCAGAAAAAGTAATTTGGTGCAGCAGCATGTGATAAGTATTTCATGAAAAGGAACGTTTATTTATTGGTCTACTTTAGAGTATTTTCCACTTGTTTTGATGTGTTATTATTCTAAAGCATCGGCGTATATTTTAGAGCGCAGTAAGACCTCGCTGTTTCCTTCTCTTTGTCAGCGTGATTTTATTATTCGATGTTAGTTAGCGGGACTAAAGGTGGGCGTGCCCATAGGTGGCATGCAATGGTTCACTGCCACTCTGCTGCTTAGGGGTTATTTACCTTTCAGCCTCAAATCAAACGAAACGCTTATCGGTCAGTATGTGGGGCAAGTCTGCTCAAAGTCCGTGCCCGTGAGTGGAACAGCTCTGCTGTTGGCGGTTGTTTTGCCAACTGAGCGCTGTTTCATGAGGCCTCGAGTGTCAGAAATGAAAGTGAAAGGATTCTGCAACAGGGTGTGACCTGCATGTACAATTAAAGCAGTTAAACCTGTTACTTTCTTTTGCAGTGAACACTGACTTCTCAAGATGAAGTGCCCAGGTTGTCGCCATACTATTTCGGAGAAGAACGCCAAGTTTTGCAGTGAGTGTGGCCATAAGCTATCTGTTCAACCTGCAAAAACTCAGGGTAAGTAAGACATGTAACATGAGTTATTTACATAGATAAATTGAATGATGAGGTCCACACAACCAATCATGTATTGTTTAACATTGTGCCATAGAGCTTTTTTTTATTTAAGCTGGTAGTCTAAATGGCATAATATTACCACAATCTTTGTTTTGAACATAAATAAATGTCACTCTATCCCTAAATGGTAAATAAAACAACTTGTTTGTAAAGAAATTAAGAAGGATGAAAGCTGATTAAGAAGTGGGCTCAACCTTTCAAAATCAAAATGTTTTCATATTGTCGTGACATGAACCCATTTGTATGGCACTTTTGAATATCAAACAGTTAGTGCTGGACATTACATTCATAACATATGTTTGTCAAGTGTTAGTGTTATTCTCTTACCTCAAGATGGCAGCGTCTCTTCATTATCTGCTCACACATTTTCAGACAGCTGGACAAATTCAGATTAGACTAACAGCATGTGACATAATGATCAAGCTTTTGTGGAGTTTTTTGTAACTTTTAATGAAAACAGAAGAAAAACAATTAAAGTAATTTGGCTGGAATGCAAATAAGACTCAGGCAATGCTCTGCCATTGATAACCCTCTAAGCAGACTGCGCTTTGTAGTTATAATTCCTTCTAATTGTCACACTGGTTTATACATTTGTTCGGATCTAGTCTGATTTGTCAACCCATATCTTTATTCCAGATACAACAGATCAGCCCAAACCCTTGGTAGCAGACTCAGAAAGTGCATCAGAGAAATCAGTTTCAGAAAATGTGGACAACAAAGAGTCCAATAGATCCCCCAAACGACCAAATGATGAGACCATCAGCAACCCAAAGAAAAAGGTGTGTGTAACTGTCTTTTTTGTTGGTCTACAGTGACTTCATGAGTCACAATCACATGTTAATGTAACGTGTAACCTACCCTTTTGCAATTGAAGTCTGCAAATGGTTATCTACAAGTCTTTGTGCTAGAGTTTAGTCAGAATGACACCTTCCTGTTTTTTATTTGCTATAAATGGAGAGTTATATCAAGGTCTGTTTCACCATTGTGCTAATTGTGCTGTTATTGTGTGTGATTATGTTGTACATCATTTAGAAGAGCGGTCAGAAGTAGTTTAGATCTTAAGAAATCTGAAATGTCTGCCATTAAAACAAAAAGGTGTTTGACTCGCATAGTTTTACATTAGCAGTAAAGGATGGTTTTTGTAAAACTGATTTCCACTCTCGGTCCTCATAGAAAAAAAAGAGGAAGAGGACAGACAAAAAGAAGAAAAGAAGTCCCCTTGTCATCAGCACCAAACATGTCTCACGTCTCTCACTGGGAGACAGCCAAGGAACGAAAGACTCGGGGCTGTGCCAGACTCTTCTGACAGGACTCAGTCAGAAAATGCAAATGGATGAGCACACCAGAAGTCCTCCACCAGATCGGGGCCCTCCTCACTAAGAGAGCCAGCCCTAGTTCAGTAGCCAGCTGACATTCCTGCGGCCCCTCTTGAAGACAACCAGAGGTCAGGTGAAAAAGGAGGGCTTTAAGCTTAAGGCAAGAACTCGGATACATTCTGGACTCTCCAGGTATCACTGTTTGAGGAGAGAGCCAATGCACTGAATCAGCTCAGGATCAGGCTCCCCACGCACCAAGCTGACACCTCCGACTCCCATCTCAGAAGACAGCCAGAGTGACAAACAAGAGGTTCAGAGTGAAAGGAGGCGTTGCATTAGAGGGCAACAATCGATCATTCTCTGCGGGACGCTCCAGGTTGATCACTGTTGAGG